TTTTGGGGGAAAAAATTATGGTTTGATAAAACCGATACAAGTACTAAAAGTGATTCTTTACTTAGAAATTCGGAGGTTAACTATTTTAGGGGGAAGGGGGTCAAAAAGTCTATAAAAATGCATTTAATACAATTGTCACGAGGGAGGAGGAAGGGGGTTGTAAAAATAATGAAAAATTGGTGACTATGGATGGCCCCCTAAGAAGGAATATAAATTTACACTTCGAGCGACAGCTCCTAGGTGGCGCACACTTCTCTCTCACAAGCTGTACATTCGAGGCGTTACTATATAAACGGCAAACAGTGGCGCTTTTTGCTATAATAATAATGAGGCGCCTGATTGTCCCATAAAAATCGTTAGAATTTTAATTTCTTAAATTTTTATTGTAAATATTATAATTTTTTTTAGCCGAATTTTCATTTTTTCAAATTTGGAATTTTCCTTTTTGAAACAAATTTTTACGTAACAGTAATCTTTTTTATCGAATTTTTATGGTAGAAAAATTTCTAAAACGCCGAATTTTTCATTCGAAACTGCAAATGACCGAACAAATGATTAGTAGACAAATTTTTGGCGCGATTTTTAAAATTGATCAATTACAATTTTTAAAATTTCTGATTGGTCAATTTCAAAAAATCGCGCCAAAAATTTGTCTACTAATCATTTGTTCGGTCATTTGCAGTTTCGGACGAAAAATTCTGTTAAGTAAAAATTCGTTTTAAAAAAAAAATTTTCCGTCAAATGAAAATTTAAAAAAAAATTTCTAAAATATAATTATAATCAAATTCTTAAAACTGAAAATTAATTATTATAATATTATATAATATTATAATAATTAATTATATTAAAAATATTGTTAAATTTTATATTATTTTATTGTTAGTATTTTTTTTTTTTTTTGAATTTTTTTTTTCGACTAAAACAAAAGATTTTGCTTAAAATTAACGAGGAAATAGAAAAAATTTGAATAAATTCGATTTCTTTTGTACTATATCGTAAGGTGACGATTAAATTAGCAATATCATCAGGTGAAACAACTTGTTGCGACCAACGTGCACGCAAACGTATATGATAAGCCACTTAAAAGTCTTCGATGGTTCACAATTATTCTCAAAATACAAAACCATTTCCCTCTAAATTATACACAAAAATTAATTTAATTCGTCAAATTCAATTAGAAATGGATAATTATCATTTTTTATTACCTTGAAATCGAAATCACATTATTATATTAATAGACAATTTATTTATTTTGTTATTTATTATTATTATTATTATTATTATTATTATTATTATTATTTTCTTATCATTTTTATTATTATTATTATTATTTTTATTATTATTATTTAAATGCGAGAGAAATTGACTAATATATAAATTGTGTTACACGAAAAAAAAAATCTTTACTTGGAACAGCGATATGTTTCACTAAAACAGCGAAAGTTTTCGCTATTCTAGTGAAACATATCGCTGTTCCAGATATAAATTTTTTTTACGTATAATTATTAAAAATCGAAAGAAGAAAAATTAATATTTCTATACAATATAGGAATTTTTATTTAATTTTCTATTATGAAAATTGCTTTTTTAAGATTTAAATTTTTTTTAACTTCATTTTATAAATAAAAAATATGTAGGTAATGTAAATGTAATTATTTATTTGTGACGCGCTCCGAAGAAAGGGGCACAAAAGAAGCTTAAAAAAAGAAAATTATAGGTTATGTTTTGAAATAAAATGAAAACTGTCGCAAACATAACCTATAATTCATTTACTTTTTAGGTTCCTTTCTTCAGAGCTCGTCACAATTTAATTTTTATAATATATTTAACAATTTATAATGATATTATGAAGTAATTCTTTGACATTTTTTTAATTGTTATTATTATTATTATTATTATTATTATTATTATTTTTAATTATTATTATTATTATTATTATTATTATTATTATTATTTTTTAATTATTAATTATTAAATTACAGTCATTTAGAAAATCACAATACTTGTAGAATAAAAATTTTTTTAAATTTCGTTTTTTAAATTTTAGTTTTTTCTTATTTTTCTTTTATTTTTATTTATTTTTATATTTTTTAATTTTTTTATTATTATTTTTTTTTTATTAATAATAATTTTATTAGTTTTTTTTCTTTTATTTTTAAATTTCAATCATTAGCTTTCTATTTTTTATATTGTTATTAAATTACAGTCATTTATAAAGTAACAATAATAATTATTGTAGAAAAATTTTTGTTTATTTTATTTATTATTTTTTTATATAATTTTTTTTTATTATGTTTTTTTAATTTTATTTTTTATCAATTTTTGTTATTTTTAGATTTTTTATTATTTATTTTATTTTAGTTTCTATTATTTTATTTTATTTTATTTTATTTTTTAATTATTATTTTATTTATTTATTTTTTATTATGTTTTTTTAATTTTATTTTTTATCAATTTTTGTTATTTTTAGATTTTTTATTATTTATTTTATTTTTCGATTATTTATTTTATTTTAGTTTCTATTATTTTATTTTATTTTATAATTATTATTTTATTTTATTTTATAATTATTATTTTATTTATTTATTTTTTTTATTATTTTTCATTATTTTATTAAATGCCAATAATTAAAAAATAATTTTTTTTTGTTTTAATAAAAATAGTGAAATATTTTTTTTTTATACAGTATCAATCATTGTATCAGATCATTGACAGTTTGACTATATTTTATAAATAACCGAGAGTCAGAAAAAAATGAAATCGAACCATGACGATGGTGGTGGTGTATCGTCAATATTTTGAAAGATACGATTATTCTGACTGGAAAATATTATAGTCTGGAATAGCTATTTAATCTTGAATCGTGTGTATAGGGTTGAGCAAAATCGATATTGCGTACTCGACACTGTAGGTAGTGTAGGCGCAGTAGTGCGGCGGCTTCGAGGACTTGAATATTTTTTTTTCTTTTTTCTTTTTTTTTTTTTTTTTTTTTTTTTTGAGGTCACCGAAAGCGTGTGTATATATATAAGTAGAAGTAAATTCAAAAGTATAACACATATAACCATCAACCTAGGTGCGAATGCAGTTGCCGAAGGCAAAACCTTCAAAGGTTGTCAACATTTTTTTTTTCTGTTCGGTTTTTTTTTATTTTATTTTTTTTTAACGTCTGTAAATTAGGTCAATGATTTTATTATTATTATTAAATTGAAAAAAAAAGAAAACAAATTGCGAATTTTTCTCAGTGATAAATAATTCACTTCACTTTAAGTGATCTCTATAATATTTCTGTTATAAAAAAAAGTCGATTAGATTTTCTTTTTTTTTTTTATTGCAACGAAAATAAAGTTTCAAGGCAAAAGTGGAAAATTGCTTTTTCAATTCAGTGACATTTTTAAAGGAAAATGTCTTTCTGGGATTGTTTATGGGTTTTTGAGAGACGATTAATATATTGCAATTTTAGATTTTATAAGGGGAAAATTCAGGTCTTTACAAAAAAAAAAAAAAAACGGTTAAAGGTCTATTTAACGATTTTTTTTACTCGGATATTTTTTTCGAATTTTTTGTGAAAAATAAGGAAATACGTATTTTTTTATTTTTTTATTTAGTAAAAATTATGAAAGTTGTGATTTTTTTAATATTTACCTTTTTTAGAAGCCGAAAATTTTTTTGGGAAAATTTTTGAACTTATAAAATTTTTTTTGTATTCTTTTTTCTTACTAAATATTTGAAATATTGAAGAAAAATCGAACAAATTTCATCTGTAATATTATTATTTATCTGTTAGTAGAAGAGAGAAAAATTCATTTCAAAATTATTCGGCTTCTGAAAACGTGAAATTTAAAAAATTCCTAACTTTCATAATTTCCATCTAATAAAAAAATAAAAAAATATGTATTTTCTTATTTTTTGTAATAATTACGAAAAAAAATCGCCAAGTAAACAAATTTTTTTTTTTTTTTACAAAAAATGATCTATAAAATATTTTCTAAATTTTGTTTTGATTATTTTTTTCTTCCGCCATTGTAATAAATTTTTATATTTCAATTTTACTTTAATTCTTACATACAAATACAAATTCAGACAGAAAAAAGGGATTTTTATATTAATATAAATTTCTATAAAAAGAAAAGTCGATTACTCTTTTTTTTTTTTTTTTTTTAATATATATATAAGAACGAAAATAAAGTTTCAAGGCAACAAAACGAAAAAGAAACTTTTTAATTTCAGTGTGGCGAGTATAGAAAAAAAAAAGAGAGAGAGAGAGAGAGAGAGAAGGGTAAAAAAAAAGTTTAGATATTTGAAAAGATTAATAACAATTTCTTTCTTATTTTCTTCTCTGTATATATAGAAACTTAAATAGGTTTTTTTTCCACAATGTGTATATTTTTTTTTTTTTTTTTTTGTCCAAGATTCTTTTTATGTGGCGTGTATTAAATTGGAAGGCGATTTTTGTTTACGAAAAAGCTGTGGTTGCCACTCCTTTAAGGGATTTGATTGATGAGTTTTCTTTATGACTTTTCGTTTTTACCAATGGTTTTATATATTTGAGAATTTATTATTGTCATTTGGGAATTTTTTTTAGTCGTCAAAAAAAAGTAATATTTATAATAATAAAATTATAATTTTTTATTAGAATTAAAGTTAATGTAGTTGTCTTCGTGGCTGCGTGGTAATTTACTTGATTTTCGCCTCGAAGAACCGGGGTTCGATCCCTTGCGTGCAAAAAAAAAATTAAAATGTAAATCGAGTGAATAATATTCGTAATATTTTTTTTATATAACTCGTAATTAACTAAATTTTAAATAATTAATTAATTAATTAATGCTAATTATTAAAATAAAATTATAATTAATTATAAATATTAATTAATATTATAAATAAAAAATTTTGTATCAAAAATTTTTTTTTTTTTTAACTCACATTTTTATCCGAATTAATTATTATTTTTATTACACGCTTTCTTGGGAATTAATTATTAATTTACATTTCGTATTTTACAGCTTCCTCGACGATTTGGATCGATTAGGAGCGAGGGAGTATCAACCTACGGAACAAGATATACTTAGAACCCGAGTGAAAACGACTGGAATCGTCGAAGTTCACTTTTCCTTCAAAAACCTTAACTTTAAGTAAGTATCGTCAATTTTTTTTTTTCATTTTTATTCCTTTTAGAACTTTAATTTTTTAATATTGAAATTTAAAAAAATTAATTTTTTTAATTATATATAAATTAAAATAACTTTTTTATTTTAATTGAAATCCATATTTAATTATTTTATTTTAAATTAGTATTATTTATTATTTTTATTTATTTACGTTTTTATTTATTGAGGGTGAAAATTGAGTCAAAGTTCCAATAATTATGTATTAAAAAAAAATTTTTTAAAAAAAACGTGTCAGCAGTTACAAGGGGGAGGGATGGTGAAAAAAAAAGATAAAAAAAAAATATATATAACTCGTGTTTAAGTTTCATTTGGGATGGAAAAAAAGATCCACCTCGACGAGTAATGACCTCGACTGTAGTAACTTTTCTTTTGCTAGAACATGTGGGTCGTTTTACAGAGTTTGTGTATTCTAAAGAGGAAGAGACATTATCATAATGTTAAAATCTCAATTCCCCCTTGTTCCGCCTCATTTTTTAGAAAAACAAAAAAATGAAAAAAAAAAAAAAAAAAAAATTTGTCATCTGCAGTGTGAAAAAAAGAAAATTATATAATTATGATTTATTTTCTGTGCTGTATTTTTTATTTTTTTCAAATTAAAAAAAAAAATTTTTTTTAAACACGAAGCCAAAATTTATTTCTTTATTCAGTAAATTTATTTATTTATTTAATGACAATATAATAATTATTTTTGTATTTTGTATTTCAGAAAAAGAAATTTTAACAATGAAATTAAAATTTATTTCTTAATTCTGTAATTTTATTTTCTATTTTTTTATTTTATTATATTTATTTATTATTAAATTTATATTATTAAAAAAATTTATTTTTTTTACAAATTAAAATTTATTTCATATTTTTTGTAATTTTATTTGCTATTTTTGTATTTGAATTTTGTTTCAGTTCAATTTATTTGCGATTTTTATTCTTTTATTTAAATTTTGGATTCCTGATATTTCGCTATTTTTTTTTAGAGTAAAATAAATTTTTTTTCAAAAATAGTTTTCGTAAAACTTTGTACCATTTTTTTTACTTTTGAATTTTTTTTTTTTTTTTTTTTGAGTTGAAAAATAGAAAAATTGCTATAGTTTTAGAAAAATTATTGATTAATGTTATTATTATTTATTAATAAACTGATTTCTTTTTTTTTTTTTTGCAGATTGTTTGACGTCGGTGGACAGAGGAGTGAACGTAAGAAATGGATACATTGCTTCGAGGACGTGACTGCGATTATTTTCTGTGTTGCGATGTCAGAATACGATCAAGTCCTTCACGAGGACGAAACTACGGTGAGTTATTTTTTCTATTTTATGGAAAAAAAAAAAAATGTTTTTTTTTCCTCCATCACTCAATATTTTTTTGTTTTATTCCTGAAAAAAGTAAAAAAAAATTTCCTTTCGAAAAGAAAATTTTATATTTTCCATTTTTTGATTTTCAAAAAGGAAAATTGTCATTATTTTCTTTAGCAAGAAGTTTCTTTTTTTCTATTGATTTGTGTGTTTTAATTTTTTTTTTTTTGTAGGTAAAAAATTTTTTACAGGTGGTCGACGGAGAGTTTTTTAGGCCCTCGACCATTTTTTTTACTTTTTTTTTTTTCTTTTTTGTCTTCTTTTTTTTTAGTAAGTAATAGACTGCACGATTTGTCTTTCTCGAGAGTGACTTGGAACGAATTGAATTACCGTCTGCTAGCGGAAAACGGAATTTCTCTTCCGGATTAGCCTCGACGATCGATCAGAGGCCCAGCGCGTTCGTTGTACGTGCGAACAAGCTGATCATCTCTTTTTTTTTACTTCCATTTTCAGTCAGAAGTAAAAAAAAAAAGAAAAATAGGAAAAAAGAAAGAAAAAAAAAACCTCAGAAATTGCTGCGAATTAACTGTGTATAGAAAAGAAAATTAGAGCAAAAAATTCTGTTTTTCAAAATTTAATTGAATTTTTAAAAATTAATTTTTTTTTAAATGTTTAAAGTTTCATTGAAAATGATTTATAGTGAAAAATTATGTCTCAAAAATTTCAATTTTGAAAGATTTTTACATTCTCAATAAGTTTTGAAAGTTTCTATTCAAGGGTGAATTTTTTTTCTTTCTTTTTTTTTTTTAATTTTCAAATGTCAAATTATTAGAGAAGCATCGTTTCCAGAAGCGCATAATTTTCAAAAGTTCATAAAGTTAGAAACTTTACAAAGTTTCATAAAACTTGTAAATTCCTTTGAAAAGTGAAAAATTTAATATTTAAAAATTCACTGTAAATCGTTTTGTAAATTATTCAGAGTTCCTTGAAACAAATTCAAAGATTTTTTTTTTCGAAAAAAGAAGGAAAATTCCACTTTTATAACTGCAAGGATTTTTTTTTTTTTATTACAATTTCCATTTTAAAATTATTTTTTTTTTTTCTTGAAAATATTTTATGAATTCTGAATTTAATTTTTTGTTTCAAAATTATTACACAGTGAAAAATTGAAAATTAAAAAATTATGATTTGAAAAATTGATATTTAAAAAATTATAATTTGAAAAAAATTGATATTTAAAAAATTATAATTTGAAAAATTGATATTTAAAAAAATAAAATTTGAAAAAATTGAATTTGAAAAAACTAATATTTAAAAAGCTCTAAAAATTTAAAAATTGAAATTTTGAGAACACTATAAAAAGTTGTGAAAAATGAATTTTGTCGAGATTCTCGTTTTTGATTGTGAAACAACAATTAAAATCAAGAATCCTAGTGTGTTGTGTAGTTGTGCCAGGAGTTGTGCACTTTGAATTTACGAGAGCCATTTATTTCTTGAGCTGTGAAATAGATAGGTGGCATATGTAACTAAACTCGTTGACACCGTTAATCGCTGCCACCTGTTTTGTGTTCCCATCTAAAGTTCCCTTTCCGGCATTTACAAATTCTCTTGCACACGAAAGATTTATTTTAACAATTGTCTTTAAAATTTTCTTCATCAAAAAACAGAATTTTTTTTTTACTAATAAAATTTCTCAAAAAATTAATTTTCATAAAAAATATAATTTTTTTTTTTATTAATAATTAAAATTTTTTTTCAAGAAAATAATAAATAAAAATTGATATATTGAAAAAAAATTTTCAATTTTTGTTACTTTTGCTTTTTTTTAATGGGATTTTGATAGATTGAGTGTAAAAAAAAAAAAAGAAAAAAGAGAGAATGACTCTCGAGCTTTCACGTAAGAGATCAATTGTTTAGGTCACTGCACGTGGGTCGCTTTAATTTTGATCTTGTTTAGTGTGCACAATTTTATGACAAGCACGTTTTTCTCCCCGCGTGTCAAAAAGGCAATTGACCCACGGAATCTTATGTCATTCGTGTCTCAGAATTTGAAAAATTTTCTCATTTAACTTCCTTAAAGAAAAAAAAAAAAAAAAAAACGCCAGTAGATATTATTTTATTTATTATATTTATATTATATCTCCCTTTGCATTTGTTTCAGTATAATTTCTAAGCCTCATTTTTCTTTCGACCAAAAAAAAAAAAAAAAATTTTTTTTTCATAAAAAAAATAAAAATATAATATAAATTTTATATATTTTTCAAAATAAATTTAATTTAATAAATATTTTTTTTATTTTATTTAATAAATAATAAATAATATGTCAATTTGTAATTTTTTTGCGTGTTTAATAATAATTAGACAATAATTTGTGAAAGTGTTTCTTTATGTGACAAATGATCTTTTGACCCTGGAACGTATCTCTTTTCTCTTGCTTTATTCCTCATATAATATTGTCTGTAATTATATTATTTTTTGGTTTATTTCGTTTATGAAATAAAAATGATTTTGGATATTTAATTAAATTATCCAGTAGAAAATTATTATTATTATTATTATAAAATATTGTTAACAATAAATAATATTTAATTATAATTATTATAATAAATTATAATAATTAAAATAATTATAATATAATAAATAAAAAAAATAGTATAATTATATAATAATTATACAATAAATTGCAAAATGTGAAAAAATAATAAAAAAGAAATTGTGTTTTTTTGTTTAAAAAAAAAAAAAAAATTGAAATAGACGATACATTCTTGGGTTAAAATATACAAAGACGAAAATCCATTGATTGTTAAATGTTTTTAACAAGTTTTCTTTTTTCCGAACGCAGAATCGAATGCAAGAAAGTCTGAAGCTTTTCGACTCAATCTGCAACAACAAATGGTTCACAGACACGTCAATCATCCTCTTTTTGAATAAAAAGGATCTTTTCGACGAAAAGATTCGCAAATCTCCTCTCACCATTTGCTTCCCCGAATACGCTGGTAAGTCTTTTATTTATGTATTTCCTATTCTATTTTATTTCCTCTTTTCTTCATTGGATTTCAGTTTATCCCTTTTTTTTTATTAAATATTTTTAAATTAAATTATTTATTTTTTTAATTTTCCTCCGTTTCTGTAAATAATAAATTTTCTTAAATATTTTTCTTTAATTTAACTTTTTTTTTTATCTATTTTTATTTAATTATTTTTATTTATTTAAATTTTTTTTTTTTAATTTTCTTTATTTTTTCAAATAATATATTTTATTAAATATACATTTTATTGGCTTATAGATTCAATTCAAAATATTTTAATTTAATTTAATTTATTTATTTTGTTAAAGTTTTTTTTTTTATTTTCCATCGTTTCTTCCAATGTTCTTCCAATTTTCATTATTCGATAAGAAAATATATATATATATATTATAAATTATTGAAGAAATAAATGGTTTGTTATTAATTAAGAGATATTTCAAAATTAGCGCTTTTGATAGAACCAAGACAAATTTCTTTTCTGTCAAATAAACGATAAACCAATTCCAGTGAAAAACGAGAGAATAATATGCATCTGGACTGATGATTTAAATAAACAAAGCGTGCATCACGCGCAACTATCGCGTCTTATGGTCCTTTTTTTTTTCTTCTTCTTTGTAAATTGCATTTATAATATCATTGAATTGAATTTATTTTTCGATTTTTTCTTTTGTAAATTTGAATTTTTTTTTTTCATTTTATTTGACTTATTATTTTAATTTAATATATAGGGGAAAAATTGTAATTATTTTTTTGTCGTTTTGAATTTAGTTTCGAAATTAAAATTTGAATTTATAATTTTTTTGGTTTTCAATTTAAAAAATTAAAATTGTTTTTTTATCTTTTCAAAATTTGGAAATAATTTTCTTTTTTTTCAGGCGCACAGGAGTATGGCGAAGCCGCAGCCTACATCCAGGCGCAGTTCGAGGCGAAGAACAAATCGACTTCGAAGGAGATTTACTGCCATATGACATGCGCCACCGACACAAATAACATTCAATTCGTGTTCGACGCAGTCACAGACGTGATTATCGCGAACAATTTGCGTGGCTGCGGTCTTTATTAGGTTAATTCTATATACACAAATATCAAGCGCGAACACGAAACAAGGAGATATGAAGCTGCCGGACGAGTTATGATAAAGAAGACGACGACGACGACGACGTTTTCTCCGAGTCGAAAGCCTGTTCCCAATTTTCACATTCTTATTTCAGATTCAAATTTCCAAAAGAAAAAAAAAAAGAAGAAGAAGAAGAGAAAAATCTTCTCACCACTCGAGGATGTCAAAAAAAAAAGAAAATTTATTTACCATCAAGAAGAATAAAAAAAAAAATACGGAATCATGCCAGAGGACAGGAGCCACTGGCACGAGGTGATACTTCGAAACGCTTAAAAAAAAAAAAAATAATAAAACACTGATCCCATCTTTTACTACTCAACGATCTCTCGGAATGATTTTTTTGACAAAAAATGCTTTTTTCAATTATTCGCCAGGAATTTAAAAAATACGCACCTGAAATCAATGTTCAATTAATATTATGAAAATTAAATTTTCAAGGAATTTTCAATAACGAATTCAAAAAAAAAAGAAATTATTGTCCTAATTATTGTGAATTAACGGAAAAAGAAAAATTTACATTACGAAATCGATGTTTAGAGAAATAATAAAAAAGTAGAAAATTTGGCAAAGAATTTAAAAAAAAGGTATAAATACTTTAAAAAAACTGATTCAGTGAAAAAATTACGTGTAGTGAAAAATTAAATATAAATTTAAAAAAGTATTTACAATTGAAAAGAAAATGAAAATTGAATGGAATATTGAAGAAAAAATTGTCGAAGAAGAAAAGAAAGAAAAGAAGAAAAAGAAAGAAATTAATTTTTAAAATTTAAATAATAAATAATTAATAAATAAGAAAATTAGAATAAAACATTTCCAAAAAAAAGAATTCACAATAATTTTAGAAAAGAAAAAATAATTGGAACAAATTATAAACAATTCAAGAAAATTCCAAAAAATGAAGAAATGCAAAAGAAATTTTTTTTTTTTTTTTTGAAAAAGGAAATCAAAATAAAAAATTCGAAAAAGTGAATTAAAAGTAATGAATTTAAATTAAAAAAGAAAATTATAATTGATGGAAAAAAAATTAGAAGTAAAAAACATAAATTAGTCTTAAATGAGAATAAATAATGAAGAAAATGAAGAAAGAATGAAAGAGAAATAAAATTCTCCTCTCACGAACGATTAGTTTGACAAAAACATCCTATTAAGAGGTGAAACGAGATTTACATTTTTTTAAAACAAAAACAAAAAAAAATAAATATGAAAAAAGACACACCTCGTAAAACTAACATTTGTGAGAGGCATGAGAGAATTTTTTTTTAATCCATTCCGAGGCAAAGATGAGTGGAGAATTTTTTTGATAAAAATGATGGATCAGGGTTCGCCATCGGCAGCGCAAGTCGAGACTCTGCAAAAATTTTACACACACACACATACATACAAAAAAAACACCTCTGTCTCTCTTCTAATAATCGTTCTCATCACATTCACAAATCAGTGGGTGGTCTCAAAATACGCACCTTTTTTTACTTCTATTCCGCACAAAAATATGGCACAAAAAGCAAATTTTGAAGAAAAAAAAAACATTACGACGCAGTGAGTAAATTACTTTTTTTTTTATTTTTGAAAAAATTAATTTAAAAGAAACCTATTTTTTAAATTAATTTTTTTGTCTTTTTTCTAAGAAAATTCTCAAATTAGAAGTAAATTTTTTTTTTTTGTAAAGTGATTTTCATGAAAAATCATTTCTAAATCGATTAATTCGAAAAAAAATTGGTAAAATTAATATTCACAAAATAAATGTGAATTTTTAATTGAACTTCTTTAAAAAAAAAAACACAAGTTTTTTCAAAAAACAATTTCTCATCCCGCACAAGACAATATACATATTTTTGTTATAATATATAATTATTAATTATAATATTATCACGCACACAAGGAAAAGAAAGAAATAAAGAAAAAAAAAAAAAAAAAAAAAGAGAAATGAAAATGCACCCACACGCAGACTCACAAGCGATTTCCGATCGCCGGACATCCCTGAGATCCTATTTTTCTATATGTTATTTTTCTCGTTTTATGAATGTGTCGACAATATTTTATTTGTCAACACTTCAAAGCATAAAAGAGGAAAGAAGACTTTTTTGATGGCAGGTACGAAGAACGAGATTTTGTGTGAATGAATGAATTTTACCATTTAAAAGAAAAAAAAAATGTCTGAGAGAGAAAAAGAAGAAAAAAAAATTGTACGAAACAAACCGCAAAGCTCACATGGGACCTCACATAATAGACGTACAATTTTAACAATTATATTCGACATTTTTATTACGCACAATCGTTAACGATTTTTTAATTTTAATTTTTTATCAGTAAAAAAAGAATTTTTGGTTTTTGTTCTAAGAATTTTTTTCCATAATTTCTAACTGAGATATTTTTATTAATTTAAACATTTTCACAATATTTAATTTCAAATATTTTTGTCTCTTTCGATGCAAAAATAAATTTTTCGAAATGAATCGCGAGAAATTCTGTGCAGAGAGAAAAAAAAAGAACAAAATAAAAAAAATCTCTCAATTTTTGTGAAATGAATTGATTCGAAGGATCGCGATTAATTTAGATATGATGAAAAGCCGCAAGTCATTTTAGCGAACGAACTACGATAGAAGTAACAAAAAATAAAATAATAATTTATATAAAAATACAAAGAAATGAACCAAATATTGCGTGCCAATGTGCACACGAAATTTAATTATATAGTCAAGGTGACTGCGAATGCTCGAACACTTCGATTCCTTGTGGATTTCGAAAAAAGAGAAAGAAAAAAAAAAATGATGAAAACATATACATTGTTCTAATTTTTCATCCCACAGGACGATCGATTGTGATGTCGACGCCTTTCAATTTCTAGTCGACAAAAGTAACGACCGCTTTCAAATTTTTTTTTTTTCGAAAAAAAACAGGCTGGATAAAATGTATAAAATTTAATCTAGATAGTGACAACTCGACGATTGAAGATTACAATTTCCCTTTTTCTGTATTAATAATTTTTTCTTAAATTCCGTTTATAAAAAATGGAAAAAGAAACTTGTAATATTCATTTGCGAATCTGTTGAGAGATATCAGAACGCTGAGAATATAACTTGAGTTGTTAAAAAGAAAAAAAAAAAAAAAACAAAAATGAAAAAAAAAACTAGCGAGAATGTGATTTGGCGTGAAAGGAATACTCGAGTGAAAGTGATAGGACGAGAAAATATTTCTAAGTCTACGGTTTACTGCGTTATTACTTATAAATATAATTAACAATTAAATTTTAAGAAGCTAAGTAATGTTTCTGTGTATACTTGGCGAAAAAAAAGAGGAAAGAAAAAAAAATGACATTTTAAGGGGAAAAAAAAACTGGCAGTGTAATATGCGAACTTGAGGATTTAACCATGCTAACGTGTGATTTTGTACGTACTATTATAAAAAAAAAAAAACAAAACAAAAGAGTCGTAAGTCCTGCGATCTTCACCGAGAAATGTACATTTTCTACTGCGATTAATATTTCTCTTAAACCGAAAATAACCAATTTTTGCACTCAGCACCTCCCTCCCAAATCCTCTTCATGTAGATAGGGTCGTCTTAGTTTACAAAAAAAAAACAACTTTTTAATAAAACATATATAATTCCATGTCTTAATCGAATTCCCAACTAGTTTTTTCATGCAATCATATATATAAATATATTCCAATAAAATTGTCTTTTCCAGTTTTCCAAAAACCCCTTTTTTCCTTCGATATGACTTACGTCCCTTTTGCGATCTGTATGAGGTGTGACTCTTTATCAATAGTCATGTTTGTACGTCGATTTCCTTGCTTTCGATACCGGTGTCACCGTCGTGAATCTTATTTGTAGTTTAAAAAAAAAAATTTCCTAAACGATCGTCGCTCACTCTCAAGAGGAATATCATTCCTGAAAAATTATTCCTGATCATTTTCACGTTATTCAATTTTTTTTTTAGGTTATGTTTCACTATAGAAAAGAACCAATTTTAATATATATAATCATACATTCTCTTGAATACAAAATGATCATGAATAATTTTTCCGAATGATATAAACCCTCTTTTTATTTGAGATTTTCTTTACATTTTCTTCAAAAATGCTTTTCACTTGAAAAAATTGCAAATCCCAAAATGCAATAAGATCCGTATTCTGAAACAGAGAAAAAAAATGAAAATTTTGTTAGAGGTTATTTTTGTGGAACATAATTTGAAAAATTCAACTTAGACTGCTTCTACAATAGTTAAATTACACGCATTGCCAACTGTTAAAAAAATTATTTCACTATTTTTATCAAAATAAATTTTTTTTATTTAATATTTAATCAGATATAAATTTTTTGTCAATGGATGCACGAATTTTTGAGGTTATGTTTTACTATATATAAATAGAGGCTAATAACAAAATCGAAGAAAATGGGAAAAATAAGTCAATTTCAAGTTCTAAGAATAACGACGACGTATTTAAGTCTGTTAATTGTACTACTTTTATTGTATTACTACCGTTAGTATTATATTCCCCATATTTAAAAAGATTTAAATTCTGTTTTCAATTTTCTTTTTTTTCCCCACTGATTTTACAAAATTGTTCTCAAAAATATATTAACAAAAATAAAAAAATAGAGGCAAAATTTTGAAAACAGGAATTAAATCTTTTTTTTTTGAGATGCCATATTCTTATTCCGGTTGCCATATTGTTGTAAAATTATAACTTAACGCAAAAAAAAAAATATATAAAAAAAAACTCTCGTAGAGTTATCATTATAAAGGGTGAAAAAAAAGCTAAGGTCTAAGTATACAAATTGCTACACCTAAGTCGTACCTAAGTACCTATATCGTGTCTCTAGTCACATAGTCGAAGGATGAAAAAAAAAAAAAATAATGATGATGAAAGGGAGCGTAACGCACGTTTGTACAACTTCAAAACCCTCCCGTTGCAGGGACCCGTTCGCGCTTATTTTTTAAGTTTAAAAAAAAAACGTGGCAACGAGACAATGCTGCTTGCATTTTCGATTTAAAATGCGAACAACGCATCTAATGTGCAGAAAAAAAAAAATTAAGACCTAGATCCATTTCTATTGTTCACATGGATTTTCACATTTTTATGTCTAACGGTGACTTTTTTCAAACTTCTGTTTCTATTTTAGTTTCTTTTTTTTAAAGAGCCAACGAACGAGATGAGATAGAAAAGGACAGAGTATGTCTGTCCTTTTCTAACTCATGTTTCAAGTTTGCCAGTTTATTGTGCATTGGCCTTAACTCAGAGCTGAAAAAGAGGAATGAACCGGAACGGGAATAAAAGGGAGATAGAAAAGACAACTATCCTTTTCTATCTCACACTTTCTTTTCTTGTTCTGGAAATGGAATAGAATTTTTTGGAATTAATTAACATTAAATTACTTTAAATTGGCGATACTAAAAACTAACCTAAAAAAAAAATTCCCTTAGTTAAAAAAAAAGTACAACTAATGGATTATTAATCAGAAGTTTGAAAATTAGTGAAACCGAAGAGAAAAAAAAAGAACGAAAACCAAAATCGTGACGACTCTTTCGAGTTGATTTGACTTTTACAATATTTAGAAAAATCGTTAATCTAAAGAGAAGCATAATCGCTTTCTCAAAAAGCGCGTAAGCGTTAAGAAAAACAAAACCAAAAAAAAAAAAAAGTTATAAGACCTGCTGGTGGGCAGCTTTTAAAAAAAAAAAAGTCGGTAATGATTTTTTCGAAAAAACGAAAATTCACTGTCGGTAGCTCATGAAAAGGTTCAAAAATAAATTTAAAAAAAAAACAAATTGTTTTATCCCTTTTCGAGTTACCGGCTCCGACGATAATAATTTAAAAAAAAAAAAAAAGATAGGAAATGAAGAGGGTTATAAGAAAAATAATTTTAAAAAAATGGCGACCAAAGTGTTCGTGAAGAAGGAACAAAAAAAAGAAAATTCCTACCGAACAAATATTCGCTAATACACTGCATTGTAATGTACTTTCTATCATTATGTCAAAATTCACGAACAAGTAAACAAGGGGAAATTAATTATAGCGTTGTATCGTAATATATAATGATTAATGGTAATGTAATAATTATAATATCGATAACGATAAAGAAACAAAAAAATAAATAAATAAAAATAAATAATAACATTCAATTGATAACTAATAATCAAGAACGCACGTTATTTCATTTTTTGTGAAAGAGGTGTTCTATAAGATTTCAGGAGAGCTGAGAACGCGAGTGGGGACATAAAAAAAAAAAATAATAATAATACCACCAAGAGAAATCTCATTATATAAAATTATTATGTAATAATTGTCCATACATCTTAAAATGTCGAAATAAACCTAACATTAAAACGATGAAGATGACTTTAAAATTTTGAAATTTTCCTGCGTTTTTTTGTGTTTTTGAAAATTAATATAATTATTTTACGTTTCATTAAAAATTTTTTAATATATTTTTTTTGTGTTTTTGAAAATTAATAATTATTTTACGTTTCATTAAAATTTTTTTAATATATTTTTTTTTGGGGTTTTTGAAAATAAATAATTATTCTACGTTTCATTAACATATTTTTTTTTAATATATTTGTTCTTGGTGTTAAATTGAATTTACGATTTTGAAAATAATTAATTTCTTTATGTTTCTATGTGAATTTATTTTTATTTTTCTAAATTTATGTTTTATTAAGGCCAATTATATTTTGTTCGTTAATGATTATTTTTTTATTTTTAATTTTAGTCAGATATTATTGATTTGAATTCAATATTTCTAATTGTTAACCTATAAATTTTTGTCCTTTTCTTATGGACATGTTACCATGGAAACGCGTGTATTAGACAAGGACAGAAAAGTGTAGACATATCTGACTTACGTAATTTACAGTGGAACGTCCGAAATGTGACATAGAGGAACAAATTAGGGTGTCACGTGACAGATATGTTACATTTCGGATGTTCCATTTGACTATCTAAATAAGCACGGTTGGGAATACTGAACACTATTGTGAGCAAGGTTGGGAATAATAAATCAACAACTTTAGAACAAGGTTGGGCATTTTGATTCAAAACAACATTTAGGGGGATCCCCAAGTAGAGGGAATAAACCAATAATTTTTTTCTTTCTAAATTGAAAATTTCTATTAACTAATTAAAAATTATTATTATTATTATTAATATTATTATTATTATTATTATTATTATTATTATTATTATTATTATTAGTATTATTATTATTATTAATATTATTATTATTATTATTATTAAAGTTAAGAATTTATTTTTTTTATTTTTTCTTAATTTCTTTAAATTAAACGAGGGGCTGTTCACTCTCAAATACCCGATTTGTAATGTAGAGAATATACTAGGTATCTTCCGAATATTCATCAATTAACATAAGAAAATATAAATTTCTTGATTCTGAATAAATTGTATTTTAAGTGGAGATTACCGGCGATTACTGAAAAGGACGTTCGAATTTGTCGAATACTATGCGAATCCAACAAATCTCGTCGATTACAGTAAAATCCTAAGTCATGCAGTAAGAATTGTTGCGAGTCACGAATGGTTACGGAGAAATACGAGCGAATTCGGCGGCAGCCGATTATTATTATTATTATTATTATTATTATTATTATTATTATTATCTAGTCTGCAACACGAAGCAGCGCAAAGAAGGAATTTGTGAAAATACTGTGAATATCAACGAGTCCGTGCGATTCCATTCGAATCCGAAGCCGAATACGTACGAGTCCTAAAAATCTTTAATGAATTCTCCAATATTGTTCAATTGGATTTTCAGTGAACAGCCCCTCGAAATTAAAAAAAAATTACATTTTGTTAACATTTTTTTTATTATAGTTAGAATTTGCTTGTTTTTTTAAAAACAATTTTCATTATCAGTTGACTCATCAAGTGTATAGTTAAAAAAAACATACTATAAAATTATATCCACTGAACCTTGATAAAATAACGCTTACGGTCTTGTTCTTTAACACTGATAATTAATTATAATTATTGCTTGCAAAAAAAAAAACTAAATACGAAACAAAGTTTAAAAAAATAATATATTTTTTCAATTAAATAAATTCGTTTTTTATCCTTTTTGATTTTTTTTCACTTTTAAAATGGAGAAATAAAAAATTTAAAAATATAAAATAATAATATAAAAAATTTTTTATTTACAAAATTTTAATAAGAAAAATTTAAGAAAAAATTTAAGGTTCATATAAAAAGTAGACAATTTTTTTTTAACTGAATTTAAATATAATTTTACAAAATTGAAAAAAAGGCGGAATTATAAAAGAAGAAAAATTTTTAATTACTTATTTACTCAAAATACATTTTTCCAGATTATTTGTTTTAAACAAAAATATTTTAATAAAATAAAATTAAATGAACTAATTTTTTTTTTAACTGAAATTTAAAAAAAAAATTTTTTTATTGTTTCAAGAAGATTTACTCTTCAACATTGAAGTGACCATAGCAGTGCCAATATCTTTTCCTACCTTGATGACTTCATCTTCTGTAATTATTAATTATAAAAATTTAATTAAAAAGTACCGAAAAATAATTACGAGTATTAAAAATTAATTTATTGTCAAATTAATTTTTTATAATTGTTATTAATTTAAAAATAAGTAAATTATAATCTAACATATATAAATAATAATATTAATTATATAAATTAATAAACAAATAAACAGAAAATGCAAATAATAAAATAAAATTAATTTAGTTTATTTTTGAATTAATGTGGAAAAATGTTAATTACCAATTGTTTTCATCAAATCTAGAGCTTCAACGTAATAAACAAAATTTAAAACAGAAATTATTAAACAAAAAATGTGAAATAATTTTTTATTAAAAAATAAGTGTAACATTTTTAAATTTTAATTGAAAAAATATTTTAGCTTCGTGTTCTTTTTCTTTCTGACTTTATTTAATGCCTACGTATTATAGTTTTTTTTTCTTGTTTTTTTTTTTTAGAAATATAATCAATTTCATCATGATGATAAAATAACATGTTATTTATGTCAAAATTGAAATAATTTATTTGTCACATAAATTTTATGTTTTCGTGAAAAATTATTATGTCACGAGAAAAATGACGCATTGTCGTTTATTGTTTTTTTTGAAGTTGAAAAAAATTTTAGTTACATTAAAAAATTAAAGATTAATAATAATAAAATAAATAAAATAAATAAAATAAATAAAATAAATAAAATAAATAAAATAAATAAAATAAATAAAATAAATAAAATAAATAAAATAAATAAAATAAATAAAATAAATAAAATAAATAAAATAAATAAAATAAATAAAATAAATAAAATAAATAAAATAAACAAAATAGATAAAATAAATAAAAAACAATAATAAAAATAAAATAAATTTTTTTCTGTAAATAAATAATTTTTACGTTGTTATTCTATTTTTTTTAATACACAATAATTAATTTTACAACCTTATTAATTTAATGAAAATATGTTATTTGAAAAAGGGGCAAGAATTAAAAATTTTTTTTTTTTTTTTTATTGAATTCTTTTACATTTTAAACATTATGCAGAAGTCGTAATTTTGTGTTATTCTGATCCTAATAAAAATCTTTTTCCTATGGCAACAATGAGGTCCCCTGAAAAAAAAAATTATTATTTAAATTTATTTAATTTTTTATTATTAATAATTTTTAAAAGAATTATTAAATTTTTTTAAATTTCTATTATATTTTTCTGATTAACTCATAAGAAATTTACATAATTTATTATTTAAATTAAATTAAAAAATTAATAATAAATTAATATTAAATTATTATTAAAAAATTTTTGTTACCAATTTTTTTAAAAATTGTGTTATTATCGTTTGGCTCTTCCGCGGCAAGACAAGTGGAAACTGTTACTGCTGCCACAACAAACAAAACTGTATAAGGTCTCATGTTTTTTTTTTTTTTTTTTTTAATTTATTTTTATTTTTTGTTAATTTTTTTTTTTTTTTTTTTTAAATTCAACTTTTTTTCGTTTGATTTGTATTTGGCAAAAATAATGTTTCTTTCTATAGTTTCGCCTCTTTTATAGACACTAGGACAGGATAAAAAAAAATTTCCTTCTTTAAAATGCGATTTACATTCGTGTAATTATCCTATCGGTGAAACTTTTAAATTTTATTGATAAACCAATTTTTCCTCAAAACTATTCTATAGTTATGTCATAGTGACAGAAATTATTTTCATAATATTATACTATATTTATATACGGGAAATGTGGAAGAAAACATTTTTTTTTAATTTTATTTATTTAGATATTGATGTGTAATTGAATTTTAAAATTAAATTTATTTGAAAATTTGAATTTCCCGGGTTTTATATATCTTAAAGTTGGTAATTGTCTTTCAGTATTTTTTTTATACTGACAATGTTCTTCCATATATTCGATAATATATTTCAATACTCGGTTTGTTAAATTAATTTTTTTTTCTTAAAAATACCACATGAGGTCATTATTGTTTTTTTTTTTAAATAACTTTTCTTCTTAAATGTAAACGTTGTTTAAAATTTTTTAATTTCGTTATTTTACGTTGGTAGGAGTGTGATTTTTATTTCGCGCGCATTAGTTTTCTCACGTTGGTAATTATTGTCAGCGAATATTTTATAGAACATTTTATTTATTTTATTTATATAATTTTCTTTGACTAACAATTTATTTTACCATAAATTTTGTGACCTTCTTAAGAATATTAAATTTTGGAATTTAATTAATTTTTCTTTCTATTTTCTCCTAGTGTTTGAAATGTTCAATGTGATTTCTACGTTGGCAGCAGTGTGTGTTTACATTTGCAGCAAGCCGCAGTTGTGTCAATTCGTTAATTTTTCTTGAATATTAGTATTTTTTAAGTGTTAAATAAATAAAATAATGGCTGTTCAGAGTTATAAACCGAATTATTTTTCAATTACCGATATTTTGGCTACTGAGGAGCGTTTAAAATGTACTGTTCAATTTGATTTACCTCGACTTGGTGCGTACATAACCTATAAATTATTTTCTGTTTTGACATTTATTTTCCCATTCTCTATTTTTTCTATACATAATATATAATTATTAAGTATACCATTGCGTTTTGGATAATTTAATTTTCTATTTTAAATCAGTGACATTTTAATTTGTTTTCAATTAAGGTTATGAGCGTTTGAAAAAATCGCGGAATAATTATTATTTAAAAAAAAAAATGTTTATTACAATTTTTGAGATTTAATATTATTAATGACAAATTGTGTTACTTTTTTAACAAAAAATTGTTTCTTACAAGTAATTTTTGTCATTTAATATCGTTAATGATAAATTTATTAGATTAATTTCTTAATATAAAAATGTTTATCAGTTACGAGTAATTTTTGTCATTATCGTATTCACAGGATTTTTGGATCCTTCCAGTGAGACTCAGGATTTAAAAGTTGGAACGAAAATAGAATTTCCCTTCTGGCTTGTAAAACCTTTAAATAAAAGTCTTTTAAGAAATAACAGAAATCCAAAAATTTTGGTAATTGAGGATATTCCAAAAATTTACAAAGAAGCCTATAGGTTTGTTTTGTCTTTTTTTTTTAATTATTTAAATATTTTTCATTTTATTGTTTAAAAATTTTAAAAAAAAAACTTTAACAAAATTTTTATTTTTTAATTCAATTTTAATAACATTTTTTAAAATAAATATTTTTAATATTAAATAATATTATTATTATTATTATTTTAATATTATTATTATTATTATTATTATTTTAATATTATTATTATTATTATTATTATTTTAATATTATTATTATTATTTTTTAATATTTTTCAATTCAATTTTAATAACATTTTTTAAAATAAATACTTAAATAAATAAAATAAATATTTAAATTTTTTTCAATTTAATTTTTAAAAAAAATTGGCAATGTTTTATTTTTGAAATTTTTATTTAGTAAAATATTTAAATTTACTTCAATTTGTTTTTTTTTAATTAATGTTTATTTATTAGTTTTACTTCACTAAAATTGTGAACGAATATTGAAAAAAAAAAATAATTTTTTTCTAGGGATATTCTAGAAGCAGGTGCAACTGCTTTTCAATTATCAAATTGGAGTCAATATTTCTACGAGTTTGGAATGCATTTAAGAACATTAGATCATAAAGATTGCGAACGAATAACAGGAATTTTAAATAAAGTAAATTTTATTTAATTTTGATAATAAAATTTTTTTTTGAGGTCTTTAAATTTTATTGAAATTTTGCAATTTGTTTTTTTGAAAATACTCATTTTTTCTTCTTTATTTTCAGACATTCCTCGAGCGTTTTAGATTAATTGCGGATTTAGTTGAGAATTCAAATTCATCAGAGTCAGCGATTGAATCGCGACTTCCGGCAATGGAACGTGAATTATATAGATCCGGTAAGAAAGCAAGTTTACAATTAAAAAATTGGATGGAGAAGGGAGTCGGCAAAATCGAAACATCCGAGGTTGTGACTAATATGAAAAAACGAAAACGTTCCGAATTCGAGAATATTTAAAGTTTTTAAAAACAAAAAGGAAAAAACAATTTTAAAACTAAATTTTTTTATTAGCTTGAGAGAAAGAAAACTTGAAAAGATATTAGAAAAAAATAAGGTTTTAGTAACGAAAATAAAATAATAAGTCAGTAAAAAAATAGATATAATAAAGGAAATTAAAATTTTTAATTTCTATTTATTTTTTTAATTAAATAATTTATTTTTAATTTTTTACTAAATTTTTTTTTCCTGATTATCGAGAAAGTAAAAATAAATTATTTAATTAAAAAAATCAATGAAAATAAATTTAAATGACGAAAAATGTAAATATATTTTTAATGCAAAATTGTTTTCTTTTTTAGAAAAAGTGGAAGATTTTTGTAATTTTTTTTAGAAAAAATAGAACTAGAGGAAGAATGTCAATTTTGCCTTCTCGAGTATCCTGAAAATATCCACATCCTAAATATTTTTGTTATGAATTCAGAAATTATGAAATACAGAAAAACAATAAAACAGATTTATTTTCAAAAAAAATTTTTTTTTAAATTAATTTGGAAATTAATTTTCTGTAAAAAAAAATCATTTTTTATTACGTAAATAGGGGGAAAAATTAATTCAAATTTTTAGAAATAAAATAGAAAAAAAATTACTATTGTTTTTTCTCCTCTTATGGAAATTTATATATTTTCAAAAAATATTATTTTTAAAATTTGAAATTAATTTTCCGTAAAAAAAATAATAATTTAATTAACAATTTTTCATTACGTAAATAGAGGGGGAAATTAATTAATTAAAGTTTTTAGAAATAAAATAGAAAAAAAAATTAGTATTATATTTAATATGTGTATAATAAACTGCATTGGCGCCGACGATTTTGAAATTCCGTGACTCGCGATTATAATATTTTTTTCCCCAACAAAGACCCTGATAACAAAAACGTTATCAATAGTATATTTGTTATGACGAATATAAAACCTAAAAATAAATTGACAAATCGACTGCAAGTCTGCAAATTATATATCCCTTTATTTTTCTTACACAAATGTTGTCGATATAGTCATTAAATAACAAATAATTTTTTTTTTTTTTTAATTATTTACACTCGTTGTACACAAATATAAAATGTTAGTCGCGATTCGACTGTCAACAATTGGTTTTTTTTTTAAACATTCAAACAACAATGAACGGTAACATCTGTTTCACAACCCTCGGCTAAATAATGTTAGAAATACCTTAGCAAAGAACCTAGATTATTTTTATTTTCACCTAATAAACGGAACTTTTTCCATGAATATGAAAAAAAAAAAAAATTTCCCCTGATTTATATATATAGAAAACAGTAAAATTCTCGCTGTGCGCTTTTTAATTTACAATAATAATAATAATGATGAAGTAACGTGTGCGTGTATAAAAATATTTCATAAAAAAAAATTTTTCGTAAATATTTAATCGATCAGGTGTCGCATATTTATAATTATATATATATTATATATTTTTATTTCGTAAGCCTAAGTTTTTTTTTTTTTTTAGGAAGATTTTACCTACTATATAAAAAAAAATGGTCGACGGTACATCGAATACTTTAGTTCGAAACCTAATTGGCAAAATTTCTACCCTGTCTTTGATTTTATTTATTTATAGATTTAATAGAAAAGTGGGAAATATTTTCCGGTAGAAAAATGGAAAACAGTTTTTTTTTTTAGGAAAATTAAAATTAGGAAATCTATAATTTATTAAAATTAATAAATAGTTATTATAATAAAAGTGGGAAAAAAATAAAATAAAGAAAAATTTCGATAAGAAAATAACAAGAAAAGATTTTAATAAGGAAATGAGAAAAGAAAATGGAAAATTATTTTTGTAATAAAAAGGGAAAAAATTTTCAATTCAAATAATTGAAAATATTTGTTGGAATATAGAAAAGAATTTTAGTAGAAAATAGTTTTTGAATGGAAATAATTTTAGTAAAATGAAAAAAATTTGAATTTAAATTAGAAAAAATAGTAAATAAATGAAAAAATTTTTTAGTGAAAGAAAAACATTTCGAAAAATTTTGAAGCTAGAATAAATAATAATTAGGAAAATAGGAAAAGTTTTTAGTAAAAAACAGAAAAATTAGAAAACTGGGAATTTTAATAGATAATAAAAAATTTTCTACTTCTTTTTTGAAACTTTTTCTATTTTTAAAAGAAAAGCGTCAAAATAGGAAAAATAGAAAATAATTTTTTTTTGAGGAAAATTGAAAAATATTTTAAGAAAATAATTTTCATTTGAAAATAGAAAAATAGTTTTAGTAAGAAAATAATTTTCATTGGAAAATAGGAAAATTTTTTTTTACTAATAAAATAGAAAAGAAATTTAATAATTAGAAAAAATTAAGTTAAAAAGTAAAAAAATAATTTTAGTAAAGAAATTTTTAAAAAGAATTTTTTTTAAAAAGAATGAATAAAATATAGAAAAATGGCAAAATTGAAAATATAGTTTCTTTGATTCAAATATATTATGTATATACATATGTATAGTATAAGTCATTTGACATTGGCACTTTGAGCAGAGGTATTGTCTCTGAAAAATAAAAATCCTCTCGACAAAGATTTTGAGCAGTTTCTAAAATAAATTGTGTCGATATCACATAATTAACAAGCTTAACGTTTCTTTGTCACGGGACTTTTCAGAGATTTTATTTTATTTTTTTTTTACATATTATTTTTTTTTTCTTTGTATTGCGTTAGAGCTTTCCCTATAAATTATATTTTATAAAATTATGTATTACATATTATAGATAATATTATTATTATTATAATTATTATAAAAGGCACCGAACGAATATTTTCGATTCGTATCTTTGCTTTGAGCAAATTTTCGCTGGTTTTTAATTATCATTATTATTACGTTGGCGAAAATTATTGACAATTTTTTTTAACAATTAACGTAATATCTTTTAATTGATAGTTTTCTTCCATATATTTTTTTTTCTTTTTAGAAAAATATTCTAAATTTAATAGTTGTGAATTATATTTCTTTCGAAAATTTATTTTTTTTCTTTCATAAAATTCTAGAAATTAGCTCAAAAAAAATTTATACAATTTTTTCTTTTTTTATTATTCGAGTTGAAAAATTTATCTGCAATATTAATTACTGTAATTAATCGATTTTTACAAAGAAATAAATGTAAAAAAAAAAATTTACATTTTGTAGAAAAATAGTTAATGATAAATTTTTTAGAGTTCTTGTTTTTATAGAAAAAATATTTATTTTATTGCTTTTAATTTGAAAATTTTTTTCAAAAAAAAAAAAAAAACTTTCATTTCATTAAATTTAAAAAAATATAAATTACATTTTTATTATTTTTTGTTATTTTTGTATCATTTTTGAAAAATTTTCAATTCAATCACACTTTTTCAAAATGTATTTAGTAATTCAAAAATTTTAATACAACTTTATAAAATTCTCCTTTTTTTCAAAAAAAAAAAAATTTCATTCGAAAAAAAGCTTTTTTTTTGGAAAAATTATTAATTTAAAAAAAAACATTTTTCTAAATCTTACTAAATTTATGATTTAGGCCTTTAATAAAATTTTCATTTTTCCCTTTTATTTCAATAATTTTTTTTCATTTTCGAAAAATGATTTTCTAAATGTACAAAAAAAAAAAATTGTTTTTCGTATTGAAAACTTAAAGAAAAAAAAATTGAAAAGTCATTTGTTAGATAAAATATACTTAATGATTTAACTATTGCTTTTCATCCGGCCATCGGTTCGTCAGTGACGATTCTAGAACTTAATTAAATTGCATATTGCAATGGCGTAACCATTTCAAAGAAGAAAACTTATCTAAGACACTTATTGGTGTATTTACTGGGCGCATTATTTACAAATTGGAATGTTTATATACGTATTTATGTTTTGTATCACGTGCAAAAAAAAAAAAAAAAATTTTAACACGAGAAGCGTTGTTACATTTTAAAATTTTTAAATTAAAAAAATCTAAATTAAAATTGTACAAAAATGCAATTTTGATTACAATTTTCTTCGATTTTGTTTTCTAAATAAGAGATCAAATTTTTTTTTTAATTTTTTTTTTCAATTGGAAGCTAAAAATTAATTTTTTGCTAAAATTTGAGTAAAATATTTCAGTAATATTAAATGTTTTTTTTTGTATTTATATGTGTGTCAGAAGTTTATCAATTCTATTCAAAAAAATATTAATTTCTTTGTAACTGAATAAATTATAATCAAAAGTTATTATTTTAAAATTAAATTTAATTAATTTTTTTTTATTAAAATTTATTTATAATTAATTATAATTTAATTTTTTTAAAGCAATTTCACAACTGCTTTTGTATTATTCCAATTTTTTTTTTACCAAAACGTTAATTTAACTTTAAAAAAAAAAATTGGTGTATTTAAAATGTATCAACGTTCTTTTTTAATTCCTCACAATGAAATTAACACAAATTCTTTCCTAATATCGACATATATTATATATAGATATATATATTATGTGTTTCGAGGCACAAAACAATTTGATTCAAGCTTCTCTTAAATATCTAAGAAAAAAAAAAAAATTAGCACCAACCATTCGAGACATTTTTTTTTCTTTAAATTCTAAAATGGGAGATAAAGATAAATTATTATTGGTCTTTTTTAGAATTCGTAGGATAATTTTTTTTAAAGAAATTGGTCGTTGTCGTGAGGGTTTAAAACTATGGCACTGAGATTAGCAAAAAAAAAAAAAAATGCAGAAAACTGCGAGGCTATATGGTCCTTTTTATGTGCGTGACAAATTTCATTTTTATGGGGAGAAAACTTTCAAAAAAATTTTTTTTTTTTTTTTAGAATACAAAATAACACGGAGATCACATATTTTTTTTAATGCATTTCCTTTTGAAAAGGAAATTACTTTTTTTTTCTTATAATGAACCATCGAGTAAATTTAGTCTAAACCTCCTTTCGAATTCGGCAGAATCGACAGATCGACCTTCCTCAAAAACCATTAGTGATTCTCCGTCTAGTCAAAATGTTGATTCCGTTTTCAAAGA